GGCGTAATGAACATTTCCACGGTTACGCAGCGCACGCGCGCGCGCACGCCCGAAGCCGTCGTTAATTCCGTAGACGGAATTTCGCAGTCGAGGCCCCCCTCCAGGCCATTCAATTTCATTAATCGTTCCGGCGAAAGCCGTTCTCTCGACCGTCCCCCCCGTTCCCCTCATCACGGTTTTCACTTAAATCGTAATCTCGGACCGTTGCCCGGGCCCCAACCCTCTGATAAATCTGCTCCTAACCGACCGGTCCCTGATGCGCGTCAATCCCAGTGGTTTCCACGCAGTTTCCTGGCTACGTCCCGTTTGTCCACCACCATTATCAACGGAATTTCTGGCTCCTTTTTCCTTGCATGGCCATGTTCGACCTTCGCGCCTAGTTTTTCGGGGCCCTCCATACTATCCGCGAGATTAACAGATTCTGAGACAATCGGAGCAGATAAACGCGGAAAGTGGGGGAGAGTATAAGCTACCAGGTTGGGAGAAAGAGAGACAGATAAAGAACAAGACTATTCCCTTAGTATCGTTATACAGAGATAACGGTGAATGCGTTAAGAGGAGTTTACTACTGGTGGTTTGTGAGAAAAGAGAGTCAGAGAGGGAAATCGGCTACCCTCGGCGAGAGAGAATTACAGCGAACTACTTGTCCCCTGGCACTTGGGATACCCTTGCTCCATTTTGCTTACCCACGGAGGGGGATCCCTGGGGTACGATGTTAAGGAGGAAAGCCGTTAGAGCGGGTACCGTGTTCACCGCCACCCGTGGATTTCTACACAAGGGGATAAACTTGGTGTATATTTAAAATAGTGAAAATCTTGGACAGTTCCGACAGTCGAGAAATTGCGATTTTCTTGGTGGTTCTAAACGAATGAACGAGAACAAGGGGACTCACGGTGGCAGTGAACGCGTTAATGGTTGGTAACAAGGTCTCCCTGTTCGCAGGGTGCAGCACTTCGACGAAGAATCTTGCGTTAAGTGTTTCAAGCGAGTATGTACATATATGCATGCGTGTGAATTGTTACGTGAGGTCAATGGCACCTTGCGCGAAACCACACCCTGGGTTAGAGGACAGAACTGGTTAGAGACGTTACAATGGAGTTATGTAGAAAAGGTTGGCGAGGAAGAGAAAACCAAAAAAAAAAAAAAGGAAAAGAAAGCTTGAAGTAGGTATAATGCGGAAGTACAACGACTCGTAGAATGGTACTTAATTAGTACCGGAAACCGATTATTGCTATAATTGGAATAAAATCAGTGTTCGACTCTCCGAGATCTTTAATAAGATTCCCGTCTACCCCGCTTCATACGAATCTACGACCCTTTTCCGTTGTTATAAAACTGATAGAATAGTAGAAATGCATGATTTACTGCAGGCGAAGCTCGTGAGAGATCGGTTAATTTTGTCCCAACTATATATACCTATATATTATATTCATCTCGCGATTGAAATATATTCTCGCGGCGCCGTTGCACCATTGATTCCCGTTTCACCATGAGGAGAAAACCTTTCGCGTGTACATATACCAGGTCAGACGGTTCTAATGAACGCGAGCAGCGACGTCAAAGGCAACCGGAAGAAAGAGAATGAATAGAACCCCTATACGCGATAATAATTTATTCCGTTGGCCGATGACGCACTGATAAAGGCCGATCCCCGAAGATGATTAAAATGACTATCCGTCGTTTTACCACTCCGATTGGATAAAAAACGAAAAAAAAAAAGAACAAATAAATAGAAGAGTGCCCGAGTGATCGAGAGAAACATCGAATCCGGGCTTAAAATTACACGGAACCGCGTCGATATAGACGCACACATTTTTCCTGTTCGAGAACCGTCTTCTCTGGTATTTCTCTTTTAATACCGTCGGATATCGGCGTACCGTGACTATCGATATTGTTACACGAAATTTCTTGGTCCCACGGGATACTTTTGCGACAGGGCAAAGAGAGGAATATACTCGTGGTTTGGATTGATTCGCGAAAATAGAAATGTAGAGGGTAGAATAGACACAAAGAGAGAATGATCGAGAGGGTGAGAGAGTTTGTGTAAGAGAGAGAGAGAGAGAGAGAGAGAGAGAGAGAGAGAGAGAGAGAGAGAGATACAACGAGCGAGTACGTCAGGGATAGATTACGATCAGCGATCTTCTCGATCGATTCCACGGTAGAGAGTTAAATTGACGTCGAACTCGTCTTGCGAAACGATGCGCGCGCCCCGCGTGTGTAGAACCGTGGAATGGTTCTTGTTCGTGTGCGCTACTCTTACCCTCGCGACGAGTGACAACCGAGCGGGACGAAACTTCTCCACTTAAAGTTAATCGGAAAGTTATTACACCGGGGCACTGCGGGTCCTTAGACGGTGCTCCTACTTTAAATGCATTTTTTATTTCTCTCCTGAAAAACCACTCGAAGCCGGTTAGTGAGCGGGCGCAATTTCATCTTAACGCGATTTTGAACGGTTCCTTAACGCGGTCACATCGTGTTTTCTCGTTCATTTCGGTGATACGTATAATCGAAACGGACAAGCATCCTTCTCTGTCGTTTGTTTTCGCCGTTTACTCGTGACGACCAAATCGTGCTACCAGGCGGAGCATTTTTCGATTCGTCATCAGGATTATCATTCCCAATTATCCACACTGCGCGCGATCGTAACACACGGGATAGGTACACGTCTTATCATCGTCGGGAGCGTTGTTCTACTCGAAAAGGAAACTAATTTCCGTCCAGCTGGCTATTAATCATTACGTTGAGACGCGTATTCCCGCAAAATTCCGTATCTTCTCTATTATACTCTATCTCTCTCTCACTGTTTCTCTCTCTCTGTTTCTCCTTCTCCCCTGCAATTCCCTCAAATCCAATCAATGAGACCAGGGTCCACCGATAACCGCCTCGACTCGTCGAGCAACGAGGATCGAGCAAACAAACGAAAGATGTGAAAGAAGAGAGAAAAAAACGTATAGAATAAGGAGGAGTGTCGCAGAGGACGTTTTTTCGTGAAATTGGGTCGAGGGATCTCGTAGGATGTGGATCGTGGCGACGCGCTGGGTATACGCGTCGCGACGCGTATATACGACTCCTCGTGTGTGTGTGTGTATGTGTCCTGAGTGTGTGTAATCGTGTGAAGTATGAGGAGCGCAGGCAGACGAGGAGATCGAAGGAAATAGAGTGGATGTTCTGCGGGGACCGGGATAGAGAAGCGATCGCTGAGTTTGCGATTCTTCCTATCGCTCTGATCCGACGCGAAATACGCTCTTCAATGGTCAAGCAATTGGCCAGTTCGCCGGACCATATGAAGCCGTCCACTCCTTCCTCATTTTCGTTCCTTCCCCTGGATATATATATATAGATATATGTATATAGATATATCCTTTTTCTCCCCATTCCTCGAAACACTCTCTGACCGTTTATTTCCTTGCGATCTCGACTCCATGCTCTTTCCTCTGTTTCCGTGGTCAAGGTGGGGATGGAAAGAGGATGATGGTTGGAGAACACCGCGTCGATGTGGAAACTCGGATCCCCTTGCCCGTTCCCGTTTTGCGGGATTATTGTCTCGATTTTTGAGAAAATACTTTTCCCCCGGCCGAACGATCGCATTTATATTGTACAAAATATATATATATATATATATATATATATACAGACGCGAGCGACTAATAAAAGGCAGCCGAATGCTGTTTCCGCCGGGGCGGTAAATTATTTCCGGGACCGGTTGCGTATTTAATTAAACATTCTTCGGCTTTTATTGCTTTACGAACACGCGCGCCCCGGCGAATATTTTATTTGTGCAAAATTTGGTTAACCGGAGCGCGGGCACGCGGACGCGTTTAAATCCGTAGCGTTTTCTGCTTCTTTTTCTATACCATAACAGTTACTATAAGTTTCTTTAATAATTAATATTGACTTTTTTAGTCCATTTTGTCTTCTTTATCACCCACCCTTAGAGCATCGTTTTTTTATATTACTCACGCTGTACAGTAAATCATCGATGAGTGTTCGAAGGCTCGTCGGCACTGAACATTAAATATTTCATAAACCGATGGCTGTATGCGGTTGAAACAAATATCATTGGCTTCAGAATCCCAAGCACTATCACTATGCGAAATCTCATTAAAAAATCAGCGTTACCCCTGGGGCCCTTTCCTTGTCAATGCCAAGGAGCCTTCGAACACTCGTCGATGATTTACTGCATATCGAGTCGAACAAGCGGTTCCTCGATTAGAGCATCAAGCGCAAACCGTTACCATCGTTTTCACCGTCACGAAATCCAAGTCGAATATATCCGCATACCCGACGGTTAATAATTTTTCATTCCCTACGATCGAACCGGTACGTACCGATCGCTTCCGCGGGTAGAAAGATCGAATCGAGATTCGAAGTAGATAGATCGTATAGATCGGCACCCGGTCCAAGGTCATCGGGAGACTATGATCGATATACAGGGAGACCGTGCGCGCGCGAGCAACGGGTTCAGGAAGCATTTCTCGTTACCGCGCGGGAACGAGCCGGCTCCAGGTGTCATGCCTGGATATCACGGACCGTAGGAACGATCGTAAAAGCCCCCCTTCGCCTCCAGGTAGATATCGATCCACGTGGAAAGTCGGATCTCGGCTCGATAACCCCCGGGGGGAACCGAGTGACAAGCGCGATCTATGCCCGATCTCGGATCGTGGTCGTCTCCTTTAATTGGTGCTGCTCGACTCATTAACGATAGAAAATGTCTGGGCGCGTTACGGAATTTTTTCCTTTCGGTACCGCGCGTCATCCGTTGATCCTTTTTACTTTTCTTCCTCCTACCTTCTCAGGATCAACGATCCTGCGGTTCGACCCGCGGGCATTCGATGTATCGACGCGGTTCTCCACAGGACGAGAGGATGCTCGTTGGAAAAAGGTGAATGGGATTGTTTCGAGGACCATTCGTGTGTGTGTGTGTGTGTGTGTGTGTTATGTAGTATAAAATACGTGGGAAGCAAGAGACAACGATTAAAAGGATAAAAAGAAAAACTTACTCGCTGTTCAGCACACGGAAGGACTTGGGCGACATGCAGTTGACGCTCCACTCGGTGTTCCCGTGCTCGTTGCATATCGTTATCGAGAACCTCCCGTAGTTCGCTCTGATGAGGTGGATCAGCTTTCCCTCGCCGCACTCGATGGACAGTATTTTGCCCTCGCAGGCGTACGCTGTGTCGTACCTCTCTGTAACAGTAAACGAGCTCGTTAGTTTGTTGCCGATTCGTGCCAGACGCTCGTTGTCGCGGACAGGGGGTGGAATGTTTAGGGGACAGCGGGGATATCGACTGAAAGCGGCACGGTATTACATGGTGAAATTCGCGAGTTACGGGTTATACCAATCGATTATATTAATTATCATCCGGAATATTAGTTTCTACGTATTTTTCCACTGTTTATTGACAATATCTCATTGGAGTGTGCCCTTTCCTACCCTTACCACTTAATTACTATTACCCCTTAAAAAAACTCCATATTGTCGCATATTATGTAAGATCCACGTTGTCCTCCAATAAATTTCGTATTTAACGAAACTGGTAGTTCCAAACTGTCTTGTGTCCATTACAGTAATATAAATTTTCGATAAACCTAAGTTTTCGATAATTTCAAACAAAACTTTAGATGATTACCCTTATTCAGACACACTTATACTATAATAGTAACAGAAGTTCACGTCAAGACATGGCGGTTAATTGTTACCACCAGCTCAGGCCGTAGCCCAGGTGGTCAAGGTATAACCCCTCATTCCATCGTATCGAGCATTATTTAATCCCAGAGGTTGTTCGCGCGATGAAAGGCTAATTAGTCGCCGCGATCGTCAGTACAATAGGGAAATCGAATAAAGTTGCCAGAGTCACCAGTCTCGACGTTAAAGAGAAACAAACGCCGGGGACCCAGTCGTCACCGTTAGCGATAGGCCTCGGGAGGGTTTGAATCACCGCGAATGAATAAAGGGGGTCTGCGGGGAGGCACTGTAGCCAGGACAGAGAGCAAGAGGAGGGTCTCGAGGTTTCCAAGCGGCGTGAGTCAAGGACACGTCAAAGTAGCTTGCACGAAATTACAGTGACGAGGAGAGCCTGTCGTCGGTTGGGGTAGCCGCGTGGTGCTAGGGGATGCATTACCGGGACCGCGCACCGGTTGGGTAGGCCGTGTCGCGTCGCGAAGTGTAATGGAATTAAGATAAAGGACACCGGTGTGTATAGACGGCCTGTATACAGGGGGAGAGGACGCGGAACAATGAGACGTCGTCGTCGTCGTCGTCGAGAGAGAGAGAGAGACTGGCTGCCTCGGCTGTGTTGCTCTCTCCGGTTCGCGGGGCCGGTTGAAATGAGAGGCCGAGATAGCCAGCTCCTCTCGGCCTCCCCTGGCTTTTGTCAATCTTCCCTCATCCCCCATCTGTTCGCCCCAACGGGGAATTTATCCCGCGGAAAATCCAGGGCCGCCCGGGGAGATTTCTTTTCAAAGCAAATTAGCGAATTCACGGCCGCGAGTTTCTTCTTCTTCTTCCTTTCGAGGAAAGTCGCCTTTCTCCGCGACACCGTGCAGCTACTGTTGCTGCTGGCTTCCGGGGCGAAAGGCTTTTCTCCGTCGACGCAACCGACGACGTCGTCGGTTTAATGGCCGCGAAAATGGTTGAAGTGGGAGGGGAGAGACTCGGCTTTCGGGGCTCAGCTTGCTGAATAATTTTGTTTCAACCCTGTAGGAGAAATAAGTAAGCGGGTAGGAGGAGACATAACGATCGTCGTCGTGGAAAAGACGGGCGAACGACATCGGGTAATTGTGTAGAACGTGAATAGTCACGATGGAAAGAAGACGACTCGAGGGTTGATTCCCGAGGCTCTCTTGGCGAAGAAAAACGGACTGATGTTTGAAACACGACAGCGAAAACTTCGATGGAAGTACGATTCTATTTATTTTTTTTTCGTTCTTCTTGAAGCGGAGAGGTGAGCATTTCTGGGTAGAAACCGGAAAGCTTGACTCGTAGGACCGAGAATACGTGGCAGGACCACGAAAATAGAATGTACAATTCGGGATGGGAATATCCAGCGGGAAAGAAAAGAAATGGACAGAAACGGATATATTTGGCGAGTCCAAGCTGTTGGAAAATGTACGCTTGAATTTCAGATCTCGTACCTCATCAGTTGCAACGTGGTAGCGGCATTCACGGTAGTGTGTCTACCAGCCCCAATTACCACTCGCGGAACAACCGTAAACAGCCGTGCGCGCCACGGCAATGCGAAAGATCCTCGGACGAGATAAAAAGAGCCGTGAAGAAGAATAACAGCCAGAAGAAAGGGTCGTAAAACTAGGTCCGGGCTTATTTAGACGGTGGAACGTTAGATCTGCTATAACACCGGTCAGCGATGGGTGTCGGGAGGGGGAAGGGGAGGAGATCGGTGACGAAGGGTGCAGAAGGCGAGCCACGTCTCGAAGGAGGAAAACGGACGAGGAAGAGTGCTATGTACTCCGGTGAACAGAGAGCAGCGGACTAGCACGGGGGCAAGGACGAGCGGAGCCGTACTGGTTCGGGGTGGTGGTGGGCTGAAGGGGACTGTAATAACTCTGTCCGTGAAAGCCCCGTCGTGAGTTCATTAGTTCCATACCGACGCGCCACAATGCCATTTTAGAGCGCTGTTAGGACTTTGCGCGAACGCCCGCGTCGACGTCGGGTGGATTTCTTGCTGAAATATCGTATCGCACACCCGGGAACGATTTCTTCGGCGCTAATGTGATTATCGTGTCTCCGATATTGGGCTGGGTAGACTGGAACCTCTTTAAACGTTGCCGATCTACGACCTTCTAGGAAATTAAGGATACATTTCCGAAAAGCACCCACATCCGTTGAACTGTCTCTAAGCAACTCTGAATGACTTTTTTATAGCACACTACATTCTGAACACAAATATGGTTTATTTAAAATACTTCCGTACCTCGGACGGAAAAGTTGAGATTTCTAGGAGAAATTAGGGTACGATTTTCAATCTTTCTTTGTTAATAACATTTTAATGACAAACGATCGGCGGTTTAGACGCGTTGAAGGTTACTCATGAGGGTGACCTTGATATGTCAAGGTGCCTTTCAGTAGTTGCACCCGAAATTAGTTACACTCCCTTTCCACTACTTCTGGAGATCTGCTCCAGGCGACCGTTCCAGCGGATCTTTGTCGATAAATAATCCGCTAACGAAATGCGATCTGACAGATACCAACACGTGTAACATTCTTCTTCGTTTTCTTTTTTCGTATACTTTATCCCGGAAAGTATCGCGAACAGAACTTTTGACGAACCCCCCGCTTACTCCCTCCACTCTCGCGCGACATCGTCGAACGAACACGCTTGGTAGGAGAATCGTTAGCGAACACTCCTCTCCTCGTCACGGGGATTGAATTGAAAAACGCGACGCACGGTGACGAAGGCGTAACACCGTCGAGGAGTCGGGTAAAGGGTCGTTGGTCCGGGGATTCAACGGAAGTATATATCACGAAAGAATAGCCGTAAAAACACGGGCGTTCGCATGGCGGGGTCCGACGTTTTAATGCCGATTTCACGGTGTCCCGAAGCTTCTTTCCATTACCGTGTATGTAAGATCTCAAAGTGTGTGTATTCGTTTTAAACAAGAACAAAAATCACCGGTCAGGAGACCCCGAACGAATGTGTCTCGAGACGGTATAGAAGTTAGTGGTGGGGTACGAAATAAATACAGTAGAGACTTTATGAAAGTTTGTCAGCCAGAACCGATTCAAAATTTCCACGGTGCACCACGAATTATTTAAATACCTCATAAATCTATTTTTTATCCAAAGCCCTACATGTTCCACGGCCTACCCCTCCCAGTGGTGGGGATGAAGTAAAAACTCTCACGAGGAACTTCCTATTCAACTCTCATGGAGCCTTTACTGCAGTAGATTTTATAGGATCCAGGTACAATTTCTCGCTGTTTGCAATCTCCACACAGCAATTAAACGCCCCCCAACCCCCCGTTTTCTGCTGCCCCTGGCTTGCTCGATGTTAATTAAGCGTGTGTCTCGGTAACACCGTAAGCGGCAGGTAATCGATATACGGCGTCATCGAGGCTCGATCAGCATCCAACGACGGGGACAGCGCGCAGCCGAGAGCATCGTGTACGACGTACCGCGGCCGCCCGATAAAAACCGCTACTGCAAACAGAAACCGGGTATGTACCTGGGATCTCTCTCTCTCTCTCTTTTACTCTTGGTTCCGTGAAACGGGCGCGTCCTAACCGCGACCGCGTGTTGCACGCAGCTGCGCCTGCAACCGGTGCATTCTCTCTCCTCTCTCTTTTGCTCTCTTGGTGCACACCTCGAACGTGAGCCCGGACGAAAAAAAGGCCGCGTTCAAGCTGACGTAAGAGAACACGCACCGCAGCAGCTTCCTCGTGCGAACCGACAGGCTCTCGCACTTCTGCCTCCTTTGTCACCGGTTGCTTTGGAATTTTGTCTTGTTTGGACGTGTGCATGTGTGCGTGTACATTTATAGTATGGGGTTCGAGAGAGCTTTCGCCTTATAGTTATCTACTCGAGTGGTTACGGTGGGTCCAAATATGGAAAGGCTTGCGCTGAGTTTTTTTTTTTGTCAAGGGTTTCGTCCGATTCAGGTATACAGAGTCTGTGGATAACGTCCAATCGGCTGAAATAATCGATTATTAGGGTAATCGATTATAGATAATTAGAAGCTAACTTAAAGGATCGCGTTCTGGGGGGGAAGTCAAAGTTTACTTGTAGTTTAGTAAATTACTGTTAGGGGTTTTGCTTCTGGCTTCTGTGACCCAACACGGGACACGAATTCTGTGTACATATTTACTTGTTAAAGATGTTCTTAGAGAATTGAAATTCAGTTGAATAATACGATGTTCATGTAACTACCTGAACAGAGAACTCAGAATACTTGGTCCCCAAAAGGGTTAACAAACTGCGACGTTTGGTGGTAGAAGGTAGAACCAGTAATGTCTTCGATGTATCTCTTTCTCTTTTAAACCATTTCGAGGAATCTGTCAGAAAGGTATTTCATAATAGAACACACACGGGCTACCAAGAGTGTCGTGACGGATCAAAGCGATGGCGTTAATTAATTACGATTCTCGGGTAGCCAAAGGGAACGGGTCGGAGATTAACGATGGTTTTCAGTTTTGCGGGGGAACGAACCGCGGTCGTCTCTATGGGTATTGTAGGTCCCTCCGCGTTGTTTACGTGTCACTCGCGGTTGGAAAAGCGAGGCCCCGGGAAAATGGGAGGAGGGCACGGATGGCACGGTTGCTAGAGGGACGATTGCGATTCACGCGCGAACGCAGAAATTGAAGTGCACTTTCGCGTGAGCGCCAGCGAGCCTCTGTCGGGCACGTTTCTCTGCTCGTCCCGTGATTTCCGTCGCTACGTTTGGCTTCGAAAGAATTTCCACGCGGAGAATACTCGCGAACGGGAAAGATAATGACGGTGTATAGGGCGCGCGATAACTTCGGTCCTCGTCGTCGTCGTCGTCCCGGGTCGGCAGCGCGACACGGAAATCTCCCATCTTTCTACCCGTACAGCTCCCACCCTTCCCTGCTGTCTGACCCTCGTATCGCACTTTGACGGAGTGCATTCGAATGAATGCAGCGAAAAGTTTTTAACGAGTGCACTCTCCGGCTGCAATGCACCGTTGCATCTGGCGAAAATGACGAGACGCCCCGACCAGGGTGCCTAAGGTGTAACGACGCCGGGCCGTCGTGACGGTTGAAAAATATTCAAACGGTATTTGCTGGGTTCTAGTCGCGTCTTCGTCGACTCAGGACCGAATAAAGTGAAAATTCACGATAATGTCGTAGCTGTTCCCGGGTGAATTTATTTGTGTATAAAACACAGCGATCGCTCGACGGTGGATTGTGACTTTAGTCCCCGATGATTGAGCTCCATGGGAAATTCAACGTTTAGTCCTGCTAAATATAAGAATCATTCCTGAATTAATAATGGTACATTTCAAAGCGTATTGAAAAGAAAAAGAGGTGAATTCAGCAAAAATTCTCTGTTTCGCATTCTTACAAACAAAAGAAAATAGGTATTTGCAATTAGTATCCTCTTCTGTTCCAAAGGGAAAGAACACACGAGGAAGGCACAATTTTATTCTAATAATACCTATATAGACAAAAATATTAACGTTTTCGTTCACTATTCGAAACCCTTTATCTCGACAAAAAATGTAGCCATCTCTGGGTAAAAGCGTCTGAACATCGACAGGAGGGTCCCTTCCGGGAGTAAGTTCCAAAGGTGTCGGGCCAAAGTATCTATGTTTTGAGTCGTTCGATCGTATCCGGGATTTACGTTACTCGGGGGCGGCGAGAAGCTGTGAAAGTAAAGGGATTCAGACCGGTAAATTTACGCGGATCCGAAACAGTCTATACCTGACGAACTTTCGAGACGAAAGTTCCCGGACTTCGGTTACCACCGTGAAAAGGAGACACGTTACGATATCCTGCTGGATCTATACATATATTTTTCTTAGATGTGTTTAGCCAACGAACTATAAACCAGTATCGTATAAACCAAGTATCAAACGAAAGTGTTGTGCACGGAGTCAGCAAAAAAAATTATAATTAGTATCTATAGATCCCCAGGTATAATTACTCGCTGTCACATCAGATGATCAGAGCGTTAGGCCGACAGCTTGTTTCCTGCTCCGATTCATTATTTAAACGATGGTAGCCGCGAGCTTCCACAAAACGAGCTGCATACACGCGCGTGAATAATTCCATAACCACCAGCGTTGGTCAAACCACCTTTGGAAACTATACCAACCGTCGCGACTGGATCTATCGAGAACAGCCACGATTCACGGCCGGATGAACCTCGAAACGCTGGACAATAAATAATGAACAAGAATCAAAGAATATGTCAAACGTTTCGAAAAATGTAAATAAAACCTGTACAATGAAGTATCTCATCGTTCTGTCAAAAGCAAAAGAAATCCATCCGAACGTCGTAGACAGAAAGAGAAAAGAAAGAAGATGCAGTAGGAGGGGAAGAAATCCCAAGTACCCGCGTATTAGCCTCTCACCGAGGAGGGGGTGGGGCGAGATAATTAATTATCCGCTCTGCTCTATCACACGGCCAGAGTCGAACGCATCCGCCAATAAACCATTCGATATTTCTCGATTAATTCCAGATTCGTCTGGGCTGGCTTGTGCGAGAGACACGGGACGCTCAGGCTGCTGCGGTGGCCTCCACCACCTCCACCTCCTCTCTTACCAGGCATTCCGTGGACGGCGCGTGGAGGGAAAAGAGGAGAATTGCAGTTTACCATTAATGACTCCGGGTAATAATATATCGGTGGTCCGGCGATGCCGTGCGCCTCCCGCTGCCGTGTCGGCCGACTTGAAAGGGCCGACCTAACAGCGGGATGTCGTCAGCCTGATGCGGTCTTAGACCTCGAAAACCTTTACTACGGTATACAACACGCGCTTCGCCGTGGGTGATGCGCCTCGTTGAAACACTGCGCGAGGGGCCCCATTGTTGCCCACACAGACGCGATACCACGGGCGGCGGGGGCCCATCGTCGCGCCCAACCTGACCAGAACAACCAGCACGATTTTTAGCGGATTCGAGAAGCGGGGATCAAGTGAACCCCGACTTTGTAAACTTTATTTTCGGACGTGGGGAACAAGGCGCGAGAAACTCGCAGGGAAAAGGTGTTACGATGTTACGATCATCGCCCTTTTTCTTGTCCCTGGAGAGTTTACGAGGTGAGAGTACATAGGCAAGCATGCACAGTTAGTGACGGAGTTACGATTTAACGGGCCTTTAAACTTACCAGACCGTGGATGTTTATGCGAACGTTTACGCTCATCGTACAGTAAGTTAATAGAGAGTGAATCAAATGGAAATGTGTTTCCTTTACTGTGGTCTTGTTTTATTGTGTCGTTTAGATTCGAGATTTTTAGTCTAGCGGTGACTATAAGTTGAGGACGTAAATGTATTCCGTAAGCTTGCTTCACTGGTATTTATATATATATATATATATATATATATATATATATATATATATATATAGAGTGTAAGTATTTAAGGTAAGGGTAGCAAGGGATGGGAGCTATGAGAGAGTAGATGGTCCCAAATTGAACGCCATTAATCATACGATTCAGTACGTAAAGTATAGTGTACGGTTGTAGTTCGTTACGGCTAAAGAGCATCCACTGAAAACCGTGCATTGAAGTTCACGGAAACGTGTCTTCACAGTCTGGTCCAGATGTACGTGGGTAAGCAAACGGAGCATCATCTGGTGAACCGAGTGCTTGCAGATGAGACTTGTGACTGAAAGACGTGGGGGTAAATGCTGGTTTATAACGTGAGAATGACTACTGGAGTAGCTAACAGCGGACGAAATGCGAGAGATTCCCTGTAACAGATTAACTTCACGCCCCCGCGATTAACACGAACATGCTCCGAGACAGCAACAGGACATTCTAAAGAAACTGAAGGCAAACTGTCTTCTAATGAGTTCTGATTTCAGAATCATCGTAAGAAATCGATATCTGATGAAGCAGTGATAGCTTCCACAGCGAGAAAGTCGAACCGATGCAAAACATTGTTTACAACGGTGAAAATATTAATTTTCCGACCCATGTTTACCATCATCATTTTTTTCATCATCTGGCGAGTACAATCTACCCGAGAAGTTATAAACCCTTGTTTTGTATCACCCTATATAGGCACGTCCATGATCGCGAGAGCAAAAAGGAGACCTGGTTCCTACGTAGTCTACGCAACCGAGAACATTCGCGGCCTATCGATCGAGAGAGCAACATTATAGAGACGCGAGTACGGCTTCGCCGCGCGTTGGCTCGGTCCGGTTGGCCATGCATCTTTGGGCTTGGCGAGCCACTGCACACGGTTGCTGCACTCCGTGAAGCGCTCCCGAGACGCATAAATCAAAGTCCTCCGCGGAGACTTGCCCTCGGTTACGTTCTTCGTTCCGTTCCCCACCCGGTCCCATCGCGTTCCCGTGTCCTCTCTGCCCTTCGTTCGCTGTCTGGTGTCTCACTCTCTCCCCGAAGACACCCTCCTCACTGCTCCTACCATCGGACAGGGGCCGAGAGTGTGTTGGCGGGATTTCTAATTCAAGCTAATCCTTTTTCGCCGCTCTAATTACATTATCAATTCACAGTGGAAAGGACCTGCGCTGTCTGATGCTGCACGCGCTTCCCCGCAGGTTCGTCTGTCTCTGTGCGCTCGCGCTCCAATGTATGCGCGCGTGTGTGCGTGAATACACACGTGGATACGCTCGGTGGATCGGCATTTACATGGTCAGCCTGTTGCGCGTCGCGGTCTCGTCGCGCTCGACTGATTTATAGCGGCCGAATAAATTATAAAGGAGAGGATAGAAAAGAGCGTTGGACCGGCTTTGGAAGCCGGTGTGTCAGCAATTATCTGCCGTTTTCTCTGGCTCTTCTCTGGGGGGGCGGCGATCGATTATATATCAGCCTCCGTC